TCTTGAAAATGAAGTTAATTTCAGTGAGCAATTCTGCTTTATTGCAGTTGTATTTTGAAACGTGTAATAAATGCATACAACTTACTTGTGTATTACTATATAATTATGAAGGTTTTGTGCTTCATATGCCTCATTACAAAGTAAAAATGAGGTTATAGTATTAAAAAAAAAAGAGTTCATTCAGAGATATGCAGTGATACGAACATTTGTATACTTTATTTCTTTTCCATGTCAATTTTCTATAAATGTATGTTTTCTTCTGTCCAAAAGGAAGAGTGAAATGATTGTAATAATGACAATAGTTGGCAATTAAAATTGCCACAAAAATTTTTGCTGAATATATTCGAAAATGAAATGATTGCATTTATGATTGTTCGGAGGAGCTATTTCAGGAAAAAAGAGAATCTATTATTGTTTCGCAGAAAATTAAGAGGAAGCAAAAGAGGAATTGACTTGATTATTTTACAAAAAGTAACATTTTCAAAAGTTCTAGATGAAGTAGTGGTTAGTGGGTGAAAATGTAGAAAAGAACAAAAAGAGGGAAGAAATGAACAAGAAAGGAAGGAAGAGAGAACAACAATGGAGAAACCTTTCGCAAAATAATATTCGACTCTCTAATTAAGGATTTAAACAATACATATATCAAATGAGTAGAAGAAAAATTATTTCGCCAGGATATATTTATCTAGATAAATATATATGTATATTAAACAACAAAGTAAACTAATCATTGTACAATTTAAATAATTAACCGCAGTTCTAAAAAGTAAAATATTATAAACTAAGAAAAAATATTTGAAAAATATCTGCGCGCACGCACATATATATATAATCAACCTTGAGGATGATTCTTTGTAATTTTTGCTCTAGGGGTTACCTCAAGAGTAGACCATGACTTCCTAAATTATATTTATCTATTTTTGGTTGTTTATTTGATCAAAGTGAATTTAGCTTTATTATAAAATCACAAAATTTATTATGGTTCTTTTATATAATCGCGCGAAGCGCGGCCAAATTCTCTAGTTTATTGATAAATTTGACAATCAATCAAGCAAATAAAGAGAAAAAAAGATAACACCCCTCTTCATCCTTTTTTCTCCTAATTAGCATACTTTTGAAGAGCGTCACCATGCAATTTCCCATACCTAAACTCATCAAATATTTCAACTCCCATATCTATGTAAAAATGGTAAGATTTCTTATTCCAAACTGCAACTATCCCCTCTACTGAAACGAACCCATTGTTTGCAGCAATGGATGCAAAAGAGCCAAACAGCAATCTCCCCATTCCCAACTTTCTATAACTTTCCCTGAAGTAAAGACTCTCGAAATAGAATCCGGGTTTGTCATAGAAGCACGAATAGTTCGCGTAAAAGAATGCATATCCCGCGATGAATACGTCACGTTTATCATTTCCATCATCATATCTGGACATGAACTCATCTGCTTCTCCTTCCACGACGGGGAATTTAAGGTCGAATGGTTCAAGCATGGGCTTGAACCCTTCGTTCGTGGTATGCTTGGATTTGGTAAAAGGGGTAGGGGAAACTTGAAGTAGAAGAACGGATGGCCCGTTGAAAAGTGGAAGAGGATTTTCTTTAAAGAGCAAATCCCCTAAGGAGGATTCTTGTAAAGATGAGTATAGTTGTCGTATGCATGGATTTGGTAAAACAGTTTGTATATATGGTTGAGGTCTGCTTTCGTAGCTAGACGTATTCTAGTGTAGATTTTCTCAGCGATCGTAACGCTCTTCTCCGACAAGGAGTTGGTGGTCGTTGTTTCAGATATAGCTAGAGCCATGCTGTATTGAGAGTTAATTAAGGTTACAGCATACCAAATGTTTAAAGAGAAGAAAAAGGAGGAAAATGTTGAAAGGAATAGGCTGAAGGTTTTTTTAATGGGGATATTGTTTGAAAAGCTTTTAGGATGATAATGGTTATTTATAATGAAGATGTGGCCTTTTTTTATATTCTTTCCGTATTTATTTAATGGGGTTGGTGGAGGGAAACTCAAACGCGCCTTGTATCTATTTCGGCTGCTATCCTTAAATTAATAAGATGCTGTATACAAACACTTAAACATATGATTAATTAATTAAAAAAAGTTTTTGAGCTGGTGAACGAGGGAGTCTCCATGCACTTTCATATTTCTATGTAAAAAACAGTCAAACAGTGCTCCTAAAGCAGGACCCTTTTTTTAAGAGCCACAATTTTTATTTTTATTTTTTTTTGCTTGGCAACACTAACTTTCCTTATAGTTATAATATTAGGCTTACATTCCTTATTTTAATTATTTCAACAATATAGGAGTAATACTTTCATCTTATTTTATGCAAAGATGAGTGTAAATATAACTCAAAATCAGTGACGTTCTATACCTCCTTCTAGTGGACCTACTCGACATGATCAATTTGGTTAGTCATGTTAGTAAACATTGCATAGCAGATAATTTAAAAAATAAAATAATTAAAAATAAGGCTATGGTATCAACCCCAAATTAAACCTTCATACGACTAGCTTCCTCTCCTCTAGATAGACAACGTTGTCAATCTAGTCAACATGAGAGTTGCCACTAACCCACCACGGTCAGCCCATTGACTTATTAAAAGAAGTGATTTTTCTTCTACCACGTGTGGATATAAACTGAAGAACGGCGTAATTCTCCTATAGTTACCTAGATTACGCGACTTGCATCTCCTGTATAATAAATTAACAAGTCGATATTATCCAGTTTTGGAAGTACGATTACAAAACTTATGCAGTAAAATATATATATTGATGTATATTACATGTCCGACCAACGGCAAATTCAGCCAAAGACAAATTTAAAACTAGGGAAATTAGAAATATCATAAGCACTAGCATGTAATTTAAGCAAGACAATAATAAATTAATTCAGATATAACTTTCTTATTTTCAACTTGTTTTCTACCTGACGAATCATCAGCAATAACATCAAGTATGAAGAATATAAGAACAGAAAATACAAAGGTCAAAAGTAAATAATGACCCATCTTATTGGGTTGCTTAAACTTTATCAATCTATATCCTCCAAGAGTAAATGCTTGACGTGATCCTGTTAAAAGAAAAGAAAAGAGTTTCGATATATGAATAGTAGAACTTGAACAAGAAAACGTGGTCAAAAAGAAAAAATGAGAAAGAAAGGAAATAGGAAAAAAAAAATTAGTAACTCCTCCGACCCATAATCTTATTTTAAATTAGTATTAAAACTTTCTTAAAAGAAAAGTGAAAATTGTTAGAAATTTACTTCTCGTGTGGCCCACATATTAGGTAATAAATTATTTACTTTGTCTCTCAAGTAAATAGTATATCAGATAATATTCTGTAGTTATGCATAGATGGTAGTTTCTTTGATGGAAAGAAACGTTTTTATTAGGTGTCCCTTGGACAATATAATTTATGGAGAAATCCTTAGGACTAAAGTATTTGCCTAAGAGTCTCTAGCCTACCTATAAATACGTATGTGACTCCATCAATCTAGCATCCTACGATAGACACAGGCTAGGCGGCTCTCTAGGTTTTCTATTAAAGGTTTCAAAGGCGATTCCCGTTTGGCCATAAATTATTTTTTTTAATTTTTGTGAATTTTTTTTTTACTTTTTTTCGGAGTCAGTGTTTGACCATGAAAATTTCAAATTTCACTTGAAAATAAATTTTGAAATTTTTTGAAAATTTTAAAAACTCCAAAAAGTGTTTTTCAAAATCTTCACTTCAAATCACTCTCAAAAATTCATAAACAGCTCCAAGTTGTATTCATGTCCAAACACAATTTAAATTTTCAAATATCATTTTCACTTGAATTTTTTTGTTCATATTTTTTTTTTCGAAATTTCACAATTCTTATGTCCAAACGCCCAGTAAATCTCTATATGTTATTAAGAAGATACCTCAAGCTCCTGACGTGGTGTGTCCAAGGGGAAGCTTTTGTAAGCTACACCATTTCTGTCTACGAGAAACTTGTGGAATTCAGTCTTGATGGGTTCTCCTCTCCCAAATTTTGACCTTAGATGTACAAAGAGTGGATGTGCCCTTTGACCATTCAGTTTTACCTGTTATTATTGATATTGGAATTTAAAATTTTCCAATAAATAAAAAAGAAAAGAGAATTTATTAATCCACCCAAGTCACATATATAAGTGTATAGTTTAGTTTCAAAAGACACCTGGCCTTAGGATATATTTAAACTACATTGAGACGAAGTTGTTATGTAAACTAGTTAGATATCAACAGTTTTCTGACGATTGATATCAATAGTTTTAAGTTATAGTGGCAACAAATCAACTCTATAGCATTACTTGTAGTTTTAGATATCAAACTATTATATTACAAAAGGTAAATGAATATTTATCCGAACTAATCCCAAGGGGATCAAATTAAAGGTAACCAAATAAAAGGAGGGAAAAAAAAGTGTGATTGATAGTACTAATTAAATCGTATAAATAATATCATGCATTTGCATCCTAAAAGGAAGAGAAATAACAAACCTTGTCGAATACTCGAAATCTAGCAGCATTAATCTCTAGCTGTCCCCTTGGTGGTGCCTTTTGTGCTTCATTTCCTTCTTTATCAGTTTCTTTCTTATCGTACAGAAATGCTGCAATCTCGAACCCTACGTAGAGTGGAATAGTATTCTTCTTATTTACTCTTTGAAAGAAGATAAATCAATATTCCTATTTCTAGTCGTTATACATAACAAATTACAAGATTGGCCGCGAGGAATTTTCTAAAGGGTGTATAAAATATAAAATATATTTATACAAATAGTTTTTGACCTATATATATAGTATAATTTTCTATATACTCAGTACAATGTTTCCGATCAAGGGTGGTCAACAGAACACCCTTCACTCTATGTCGCTACACAACTATATATATATATATATATTCGTCGAATTATTAAATGTGTAAAATCAAGATACTTGAGCAACAAAATTTAGTACACATAATGTTTAATAGTTGGATTTAAACTATATCACTCTCAATTATACATAGGTAAAAAAAATAAATCATAAAGCTGGTGCTTGGGATAATTATTGGTATATAGCAGGTTCGATCTAATTATCTACACCAAAGATGTAGAAGAGCTGTTAATAAAAATGATAGGAATATCAATAAAACAAATTTAAGATACTTACCTTGAGATTTATGGTTGTCATATAGATAATGGAATAATTCATACTGCGATTCTGTCCACACGGAACTGAAACCAGCATATGCAAAATTTCAATCTTACATAGAATTTAACTACAACGTACTCAACGTAAATTCCTAAAAGTTTAAAGTGAAATAATATTCGATAATCCTCTGAAATATATTTAAAAAATAAAGCTACTTGAAATATCATTTCTAATATTATAAACTGCTGTTGCAGAGTAGAAAAAAAAATTAATTTTCATATACGTTTATGGTGTTACACTATTGTTTATAAAGAAATAGATATGACAAATTTACATTTACCATGAGAAGCCATTTTAATGAACAAAAGATGGACATTTTCTAATTTAAAACACAAGTAAGAAAAGTAAGCTAATACTCCTTCTCAAAGTTTCAGTATAAGGGGTAAAGTGAAAATCAGCAAATAAAATGAATTTAATGGATGATAGGATACCCTTGCTCAGGAACATTGACAATCAGAAGAACCTTCCCTCTAAAGCAACTGAGCGAGAGACCTCTTTTCTTTTCCTGTGAAAGACGAGATACAATATAATATTTCAGTTGTAAAGATAATAAAAAAAATGAATAAATATTAGTATTACTTTGAACTCTGAATTAAAATGGAAATTATCAGCAGAAAGACAACACTAGAATAAAATCTCACAAATGTTAGGACCCGGTGGCACTAAACACTACTGCACAGCAGAATAAAATAAATGATCAACGAAACCAAAAATAAATGACACAATATTTAACGTGGTTCACCTAACGTTTAGGCTACGTCCACAAATCCGACACCAACTTCCACTAAAACATTTAGCAGGCATACAAAGAGAGACTTCCCCAATAATTTGGAGGTACAACAATTCCTGAGCTCTACCCAAAATAGTGGCGCACACAAAAGTGTTTCCCGAAAAATACCCGACTAGTATTCTACTCACTATTTTGTCACTCCCCTGTTAGGAAACATTCCTAAAGGAACTATATCTCTCTCCCTCTCAAACTCTTTCTTCTTGAGTTTT